CCCGCATCGGCACCCACGGGGGCACCTTTCACTGCGACGACGCGCTCGCGTGCTTCCTCTTGAGGCTGCTTCCCTCTTACCAGGTAGGCAGTCCCGCCTCATAGGTACAAAGCGGCCCTAGCAAGCCAGTGCAATAGGACACCCTCCCCGGAGCAGCCTTCCTCGTCCGTGGCCTCACGATATGTTGGACTACAGTTCCCATGGTGCCCAGCCAGCATGTAGGGCTTGGAGGAAGCCGATGCTTTCCATGTGTTTTTGGACTCCGGGTCCTCGCGTCTTCAGCCGGCACGGCCAATAAGAAGGCATGGTGGGAACTCTAGTCCAAACACAGCGAGGGTCTCTGCCCTCTACTTCTGACATGAAATGGGATTGAATCAAGCCTTTCTTTCTTTTCCTTTGGGGTGCGTGGAGATATGTTTTTTCAGATCCCATCAGGCAGGCACAACATCCTTTGGAGAGGTTTCTTCCCGGAGAGGCTTCACAGATGCACCCATAGCATTGGCATCTTTCTTTCCAGTTACCTTCAGTACTTGCCTAATTGTGGGTGTAAAGGCAGTTAGGTCTTGATGGGGAGCGCAGAAGGGTTAAAGTTACTCTCCCTCCTCCATCTGGATCCTGGTATGAGTGGAATCCCTGTATCTGAGATTTACAAACAATTATGGTTAAGAAGCTGCAACTTCAGCTGCAAAGTTTGTAGACTGCTATGTTGTAAGTCACTGGAACTCTTACTCTGCTCTTAGTCCTGCACCTGCAATTGCAACTATGTCCCAGCTGTCCTAGATTTCTGAAATTTCACTAGATATTATCCACATGCTTTCAGAGCTACTTTTATAATCATAAGAAATAGAAGCTGGTGTGGTTTTTAAAAAGGCAAGCTTTTATGATGCTGATTTCTTTCTCTAATGTCAGTTTTTATGTTAGAATGTAAGTGGGTGGGTGTAACACACACACAAACATGTACATAATATTTCAGTATTTTTCTTAGCCACAATAAAAGATAATTTGGGGAAACTTTGCTGGGATTCTTTGGGGGGGGGCAGTCTCACTTAACAATGGGTTCTGCGTGCTCCAGAACCCTTTATGTCTGTCAGTTTAACAAGGATCATACCCCAAGGTTCTTTCTAACAAAACACTTTAATCCCAGCCTGCTCCTTCTGGAATTCCTGAAACACAAAACAGGAAAAATAGATCTTAATTTATAACAACTTTTTGTCAGCACTTGCATCTGCAGCCTGTCAGAATTACAGAGAATTCTTCATCATGCAGATACCTACTACTTGGTGAAGCAAACTGTCTAACTAAAAGGAGCCTGAAGTTAAATGACGTTATCCTCTCACCTGTTTCATATCTCTTTTTCACTGTAACTGAGTTAGAATGGAATTTGATCAGAAACTACAAGATTGATAGCCATGCATTTGTTTCACTGCTTGTGTTCTTGTTGTCACACTGCTATGGCTTTAGGATGCAGAGATTATCCGGACCCGGGATCCCCAGCTGCTTTCAGCATGTGACGTTGTGGTGGATGTTGGGGGTGAATATGATCCTCAGAAGCATCGCTATGACCATCACCAAAGGTACCAAGGGATTCCTTAAACTTTTCCTCCTTATGCTGCCATCTCAACCTGCTCATTCAGTCTCACCATCCAGCAGGTGAGAAAGCCAAGAGGAGTTTGAAGGACAGTCACCCCAAATTTATTGGCCTCCAGATACCTTGGATTAGATTCCACCATCCCTAGCCAGCAGTGGCCACTGGGGAGGGTCTCCTTAGGAGAACTTCTATACTTTGAAGAAGTGAGAAATTACATGGAACCTGAAGTGTTTTTCATTCCTTCTTCTGAGGTAAAGAACTTGTGCCAGATGCATTCCCATTATTCAATTTTATTTTTAGTATCTGAAATAACAAATTAAAATGTTTCCCAAAGCATCTTGCAGACCCAGGAATAATACAGTTAATATGGTGCTTGCTTTTGGCCTTACAATCTAAAACACATGACACAAAAAGGAGAGGGGGAAAAGCATTAAGAAAGAGGAGTGTACATTCTGGGCATGGTTTCCTTGTATGTGTGGTCTGAAATATACTTTTAAATGCCAGTTCTACCAGTCTGTGAAAAAGAGAAATTTGGAAAGCCGAGGTCTTCCCTGGGTGGCATGTCTTTGTCTCTACTGCTGCCTTCCCGTTCTCCTCTGACCCTGCCTTGTTCCCACAGATCATTTGAAGAGTCAATGCACAGCCTGAAACCTAATAAACCTTGGCAGACCAAGCTGAGCAGTGCAGGGCTGGTATATTTCCACTTTGGCTCCCAGATTTTAGCCAACAAGTTGGGCCTCGAGGAGGAAGATCCTGTTGTGTGTCTGCTTTATGACAAGGTATCTACATGCCTACTGGTAGTGGGTGGGAGGATAAAAGAAAATGTCTGTGTGGGAAAGAGGAAAATAGTTGAGACCTTTTCAGCAGCTGAAGCAGCTTTCTCCAACTTAGTAACTTCTAGATGTGTTGGACTACAGTTCCTGTAATTCCCAAGCCAGCATGTCGAGTGGGGAGGAATAGTGAGAACTGTAGTTCAGCAGTATCTGAAAGCCCTCACTCCTGATAAACCATCAAGTTTTACTTAGACTCAGTGGATTCAACACATAATTTACAGGGAGAATGTAAAGAGTACTGTTGATGGGCTCCTTTGCCCATGCGCTCCAAGAACTATTCCTCAGGAGCTTTTCACTGAATTGACCCTATTCTCATTCCCATCCTCACCCCTTTTAGTTGTATGAGAACTTTGTAGAGGAGATTGATGCAATTGATAATGGCATCTCCCAGTGGGATGAAGAGCCCCGCTATGCGGTGACCACCAACGTGAGCTCCAGGGTAGGGTACCTGAATCCTCGCTGGAATGACAAGGATCAAGACACTGAGGTAGGTTCAAAAGACAGAGATTTGGTTGGCAAATACTTGGTTTGACATATTTGAGCCAGTTTGGGTAACAGTAAAATCAAATACAAAGGAAAGTCATTGTGGATTTAAAAAATAAAATCAAAGCAGCACTGAAAACATCAGAAGGAGTTTGGTAGCACTTTTTCAGCCTAACAAATTATATTAAAAAGCATAAGCTTTCGTAAATGACAGCTGACTTCATCAGGCATGTGCCTTTTATTAAGATTTGTTAGGCTGAAAAAGTGCTACCAGACTGCTCCTGATCTTTGGCTACTGTAGACTAACACTACTTTCCTCCTGCACTGAAAGCATGTAAGAAAGAAGAAAGAAATAGCCTGGTGCTTATATTGCTGTCTTTTGGCCCCCAGGCGGTCTTAATCTTGTTTCGCTTCTTGGTGGGGCAGCCGTTCTACCCATGAAGCGGGCCCCTTGTACCAGTTCTAGTGGAGCTTCTGGGGGTGGGGTGGGGGTTGCATGGCATTCTTTGCCAACCCATTGCCAGTTCAGGACCATGATCTTTTTTCTAGAGAGTCCGGCTGTTTGGGAAAGCCTTACTTGGTATCTCTTGGTGTAAGGGCTGGACTGGCTAGGAAACAGCGCATAGATGTCTCCACTGCTAAGAGGACAGAGGCAGCCAGATGAGGCTTCTCTGAGGAGTGCAGAGGGAGTTTGGCCAGCAGTGCCTCCTCACATAATCAGTCAATTAAGATATGGAGACATACAGCACAGACCGCCTGGCCCCAAATTAAAAATGCACTCAGATTGAGAATTTAATTGCCAAATCCATCCTTCTTTTCCAGGCTGCTTTCCAGAAGGCCATGGCGCTGGTGGGCCATGAATTCTTAGACCGGCTTGATTACTATTACCGCAGTTGGCTCCCTGCACGCAGCCTTGTGGAAGATGCCATCCAACAGCGCTTTGAGGTACCCCTGCCATTCACAACTTCCTAAGAGGAAGCCAGCTTCACAAGCACACCGAAGACCCCCCCACTTTTTGTTTTTTGTTTTGCTAAGCATTCATTTTTCCCAAGGTGGAAAAGGAGCTTTGTGGTGATGCACAGGTGCTGCTGCATCTTCACAGCTGGAAGGATAGAGATGATACATCCAGAGTTGCATGAAAGCCATTTGCTGCTTCTTTCCATTCCAGTTCTAGAACTATTACAACTCATTATGCATCTCCATGATTCCCCCTGTGTCATTATGAGGACTAGAAACTTGGGGGAAATGAACTGAAACCTCTGTTAGTCTGATGGTGCCAAACTCACTTTTGCACTAGAGTCTACAATAGGGGACCTTACGATTTGCACTAAGGTAGCAATAAAGGCCTCTAGTGTTTTAATAGCCCTCTGTATCCTCAGCCATTAGGCTGGTAAAACTAGTGCTTCTGAATGGTGTGGATCTCTTTCTATGGCAGGTGGATCCTAGTGGTGAAATTCTGGTCCTGGCACAGGGGGGTTGTCCATGGAAAGAGCATCTTTTTCAGCTGGAACAAACAATGGATGTGAAGAAGCCTCTGAAATTCATCTTATATACAGATCTGAGTGGCCAGTGGCGGGTACAGTGTGTTCCGGCCGGGCTGCGAACCTTCCAGAACCGGTGAGCATGGCTCCCCAACACCTTTTGGCTTGCCCTGTATTTCCCTGAAAGAATAGCTAGTATTTTTTTCCCAGTAGCATATTTTTAAAATGGAAAGTTTGCCTCAGATTCAGTGAGTGTACAGCAAATGGTACAGAACAATTGTTTTCTGTTTATTCTTCCCATGATATATTGAAGGGGGGGTCATCTTAAATTCAGCAGCTTCCTTTTAGGGAAATACAGTACAGTAGCAGTAAGTGGAGAGTTTTATAATCCCACACTCTTGGGGAGCCCCAAATCTTGGGCAACATTTCTGTTATTGCCCCCCTCTTTTTAAACTAAATGAAGTCCAATTCAGAATTAAGAGTAAAATCTGTTAAAAGTAAGGAATATATTGTGGCATAAGGCTGCTTGCCACTTCATCAGGTACATTAAGTGACCTCCTCAGTGGGCAACTGAGAGAGGCTTGCACCCACAAGAAGTTTCTTTATGCCACATTGCAATTTGTAAACCTCAAGCTAGTCTTTGATTTTTGGCTGAAACTGACTAATGCAACTGTGCTCCTGACGTCTTTCTTCCTTTGCGTTCTTCCCTTTCTACTTTCTTTTGTTCATCTTTCTGCACCTTAGTTATTCTGTCAGTAAAATAGGAACAGAGACCCAGTTTGTTGAGACCGGGAGTTCTAGCCCCTCCTTAGGCACGAAGCCAGCTGGGTGACCCTGGGCCAGTCCCTCTCTCTCAGCCCTAGGAAGCAGGCAAGGGCAAACCACTTCTGAAAAGCCTTGCCAAGAAAACTGCAGGGACTAGTCCAGGCAGTCACCAAGAGTCAACACTGAGTCGCACACATGCACAAAAAAATAGGAATAATAATGACTTGTTCTGGAAGTTGAATAAAATAGGCCTATTTTAAGTGTTTCCAGGATAAAGACTTCTTAAGCAGAGAAGTGATTGTGTCTTAGCAGAGGCCTCATCCCATATTCTCCGTAGCCTGTTCCTTGAGATCTTTAGGTGTTTTGGACTATGATCCAACAGTCCCTTGCTTTGGCCAGGCAGGCTGGTTCTCTGGAAAGAGAATTCCAGAACATCAGAAGGACCCCATTGTAGACCTCCCTGCTCACCTTCTGATCTTCCTTCCCCCCCTACAGATTGCCATTGTTGGAGGAATGGCGGGGTTTACGTGAGGAGGATCTCTCCAAGGTCAGCGGGATCCCAGACTGTGTCTTTGTGCATTCCAGTGGCTTCATTGGAGGAAACAGGACTAAGGAAGGTGCACTGGAAATGGCTCGAAAGACATTGGCTCAACAAGCTGAACCCAACTGAGGGATCAGATTCCACCAATCTGGACTCCTGGGAATTGCTTATTTTGTAGGGTTGCAATTCAGCCAATCAAAACCATTCATTTTTGTGTGTTTGTGAGAGAAAATGTTGAATTAGAGGGAAATTTCAGGTTGCTCCATTGAAACCACCTTTGGGAGTGGGCAAGATAAGGATTGGCCTGCTGTCCTAGGATTTCCTTACAGTGGGACTTCAGAGCTGGGTTTGTGGAAAAGTCCTGGATTTGAAGGAGAGTGCACACAAAGGAAAACCTGACATAATGGGGTGGAGAAGGGGAGTTGGGCGTGTGGCTTATTCAGATTTTAAAGAAAGTTATTCGAAGAATGTGGATTACGTGTGCTTCATGTGTATGTTTCATTAATAAAATAAGGTTCTGTCCCCAAACAGTTTAAATTTTCTGACCTGAAGTAATTGTACTTACTTCAGTTACTGAAAATTGTATCAGTTATGCAGCATTTTTCATTTGGTGCTTTCTGCTTTGTTAGATAACAGGACAGGAACATTTTGATTAGCCATTTCTCTCTTCAGATTTTAATAGGGGTGATTTGTATCAAGAATCGGCAACTTTTTCTAGGCTTGACCATTATGGCCACAGTTTTGTGTAACAGCCCAGGCACCAACAAACAGAAGCTGAAATTATGAGAACTGTTGCATACCATTAACAAAACCCTCTTAAAATTTCAGTAAGATCTTATGAGATTTTGGTGTCCTGCCATAGGGTACTATGTAAATGTCTTACAAGATTTCAATTATTGTGATTTCAGTTTTCGAATGTGTGTTTTACAATTTTAATAACAAAAATGACTCATTAAGAAGAGCTGACTTACAAGCCTGAATCCATTCTATGTCCTCTTATGTGATGCAAAGCACATTCAGCCTCTAGATCAGTGTTTCTCAACCTCAGCAACTTTTAAGGGACTTAAACTCCCAGAATTCCCCAACCAGCATGGGAGTTGAAGTCCACACGTCTTCAAAGTAGCTGAGGTTGAGAAACACCGATCTAGAGGTTAATAAGGTGGTAGCTGTACTCCCGTCTTCCCATTTTGGAAAATGGAGGCAAAGTAGCTCTATCACATTCATGTAGGCCGGCCTTTTCTACAACAAGCATATTTTGGGTTGGTTTGGAAGAGAGTGTTCACCATCCATTAGCTGGAGGGTTGTGCTAGACTTTGCAAGCATGTCCCAAAAGTGAGCAAGACTGGGGTACAAAGTCCCAATTTGAGGGGAGGCTTGGGGCTTCTAAGAGCTGAAATGGGGGCTTTACCCCTCTAAGTTTAAGACCTCCCTTTTGCCATTCGAAATCCTCCCCCCAGAGGAAAAAATGTAGGCCATGCCCACTCTGCTGTGTTCAGGAGGCCACAAAAGGAGTGATAGTGGACCACAATTTTGGCACCCTCTGCAGTAGAGCAACGTAGCTGGGAATTACAGGGGTTGTAGCCTGCATACATCTGCAAAGTGCCAGACTGGAGAAGGCTGCAACTCTAGACCTTTGACTTCAATCATTTATTTTGGGTTCTTTGGCACCAGAAGGTTTCCTTTTATGCTTCCTTCTGCCCTATTTCCAGGCTATCCAGAAATTGCATAAACAACATTTTAAGTGGAATTTGCTTTCAAGTATTTTGGAATAGAAGAGTAATGTCTACCAAAGCTCTTGGTACATTGTCTGGTTTTAAAAGGTGCATTTGCTACATTTGTCTGGTTTTAAAAGGTGCATTTGCTACATCAGAATTACCTTAAACCATTTTAAATAGAGGTAGTTACTGGGGTGGAGGAAGGAACCCTGTCCACAGCTATTTGCCATGTGGGCTCAACAACATTCTCCGTGTTGGTGTGGCATTGTTTGTCCTTCAGCATTTCTTTATTTTACAGATTTCTAAACTTGAAATAGATTTCGGGTGACACGCAGAAAAAAAATTCAAAAGACCAACATAAGCACCCATAATTTTTTTTATTTTTGAGAGCCACTTTAAAACAAATTTGAAAAGTACCATATTAAAATGGGGAATTAAAAATGTTCATGCTAAAAGCAGTAAGTGCTATCCTTGTTTATATGGTCTTCTGGAAGACGTTTGGGTTTGGGCACCATTAAAATCTCTTGTCTCACCTTGCATGGATGGAAATGGCATTTCTTCTGAAAGGGCCTCAGACCAATCTTGAATGGCATGCTTTCCTGACTTAACGAGGAGGGAAACACACAAAAAAATAGTTTCTACACGCTAAAACAGGTTTTATTTATTTATCTTGGTGCTGGTGAATCAGGTTTTGACTCCTGGTGACTGCCTTTTCTTGGCAAGATTTTTCTGAAGTGGTTTGCCCTTGCCTCCTTCCTGGGGCTGAGAGAGATTGACTGGCCCAAGGTCCACCAGCTGGCTTTGGGCCTCAGGCAGGACTAGAACTCGTGGTCTCCCACTTTCTAGCCTGATGCCTTCACCACTACACCAGACTGGCTCTCTGTAAAACAGAATGTATTAAACAAAGGAAACCTACCTGAAAATTATGAGCATAATTTATTCAGTAAAGGAAGCCTACCTAAAAAATCTCCAAGAAAAACAGAAAATGCCTACAAAATGCGAAGTGGACTGCTGCTCATAATCCAGGAGTCCTAAAAGTTATGGTGTGGAAGGAAGCCACTGCATTAGTCTGCTTCACCAGCTTTTCAGAAGTTGGTATTTGTGTGTTATAAACACACACACGCAGAGCTCTCCCTGCCACACCTCCTGCAGTCTAGTAGGGGCTGGCGCTCGCTCTCTCTCTCTCTCTCTCTGTCTCTCCTCCCACTCACAGAGTCATGTGTCTCAAGCTCTTTAGCAGATGGACAGCAGGCAGGGAACTAGATTGAGAGGACATCCTGGGAGAAGTTGATCCGTGGGGTCTGTGGTTCCTGCATATCTCAAAGGAAGCTGGGCAGAAGCTGCAGGTAAGGCTGGGAGACTCCCTTGACTTCAGGCTCCAATCTCTGGGGACAGAAAGACTGATCCAAACGCCTTGTTCATGCAGATGAGTTGTTGTGGCAGGATGGCTTAGGTGATGGAGGCATCAGCTAATAATTTGGTCTACTTCACCCAAGAGTCTTTCATCTGGGTTGATGCAGACAAGCAGCAGATGATCCCTTCTGCAGCATATCAAGAACTGGATTAGCTAATGCTGCTTTTTCTTTGCGATTCATTGGGATTAAAATTTACAGTGGGGGTAAAAGTTGGGGAAAATGTTACGGTGGCCAGTGTGACATGATCCTGTCCACAGATACATAATCTGTAGCATGGCAATAAGCAAAGCCCCATACTAATGTTTACACACCCTAGGCAGAAACAAGGAGGTCAGATGAACTTGAGACAATAGTAATGTGGTCCTGGAGTTTAGCCAGCCCCTTCCTGTTGCTGGTCATCTAAATGGCCATGATTGTGTGTGTACATGCTGAACACATCAGCTTCTTTTCCACCACTAGTTGTGCACATCATCAGTGTCAAGCCTGGGTAAACTCAATCGGAGTTATTGCTAAGCAGAGAAGCATACATAGCAGAGAAGCACAACACATATTATAGATTTAGAACAGGGGGAAAAAACCCTCTTCCATAGGTCTCCCTCCAAAATCAATGGGCACAGGAGTTAGCCAGAGATTATATACCTGACACTTGGATGATGCCTCTTAAGGAGGCAGGGGCCCTTCCAAATAAAGGTTTTGTTGCTTCTGCCTCATTCAAGCAATGTTATGGAAGTCTAAAAAAATGTTATCTTCAACTTGCTGTCCTCCAAGGTGTTCCAAGCTCCCTCCATTTCAGTAAAAGAGCTGAAAGAGAAAAAGAGCTGAGCAATGGCTCTGGAGTCTTCTGATCACTTTTGGCTAACCAGGTCACACCGCCACATTTCTGCACTGGGTGTAGGTGGATCATATAACCACTCACAGATAGAAATCCATCAGCCATATCTGTTCCGAGTGAAGGCAGAGCAAAGCATTAGTATCTATTTAATCATTTAAATCTGAAGACACAGATAAGTTGATCTGGGAGCATGTAACAGTAGCAAACCACTTAAAAATACATATTGCAATTTTCTAAATGAAGCAAAGCAAGACCGAGAGAAGATAGGCTTGTCAACTTTGGTGTCTGCAACAGCGACTGGAGTGTAGCAATTCAGAAGTGAAGCCTTTCCTGACAGGGGGAGAGTCATATGTAGACCACGCCACTGTTAAAGGGACAGCAATCATATAAGCATGGTTAGGAAAGAAAAAATCAACATCAGAAGCAAATTGTCCTGGACAAAGAACCTGTTTCCTAATTAGAGGCAAAGACGTTAATTTCTAATCTTTCTAATCTACCCTTGTTTCTAATCTAAGCTGATATTTCAGTCGCTACCATTATTAATATTTTTTATAAATCCTGTCCTTTATGCCCTCATCTGGCTTCCTCTCCTCTAATCGCTGAGTTATAAGGTTCACTGGCAGTTCAGGCTTAATTATGTATAAAACCTTTATTTCTAATGCCAAATGCACATCTTTCCTTTTTATGCTGCTGAAATTGAGAGGGAAAATAGCTGGAGACATAAGAGATCTCTAAAGCAAGTTAGGGATTGGCTGATGTACCCAAGTAATAAAAAATGAAGGGTAATTTGGAAAAATATTTCTTTTGTGGCAATCTCATTCACTTACCTGGGAATGAACACTCTGGAACTAAATGAGGCTTACTTTTGAGCAGATACCTATACGAATCACCAAGATCTATCACTAGATCCATATCTACATTTTGTCTATCTCTTTGTTAAAAGAAGCATGAAAAAATTTCCACCACAGAAAAACTGCTTGTGTTCATACATGATAAACCAAAAGCTTAATTAATCAGCATATGTCTGCGCCACCATTTTACCGCCCCACCCCCATCCTTTCCTGCATGTTAATCAAGATTTGGGGCTTATTTATCATCCATCTCCAAAACATTGACTATTTTTGGTTTAAGGAAAATAGAATTTGCACCAAGCCAAAACAGGGGCTGCTCCAGGTGGGGAGGAAATGGTAGGCCTCAACATTTTGCTAAATATCACTCATGACAGACAGAAAAATAGTATGTGCCCATTTATTAACGAAGCTTTATGGCTTAATGTCATATGATCACAGCCACTGTCAAAATAAACCCATGAAATGTGTTGGAAGGGCCTTTATCACTCCCATTTACCTTCTTCCCATCCCGTTGCTTTTCAGTCAAGGTTCTGGGCCTGCATACCAGGATCTCACTATTGTTTGTGAGGAAGAGAAGAACTCAGCAGAAATGTCGGTGTTGTCTGTCTTCTTGTTCCTGATCCATGGCTTGCATGGCCATCTCTCATGCCCTCACAGGTGTGAGTGCCCACCAGGAAATGGCGTGGTATGGTGCAATTGGAGAAATCTGATGGTTATTCCTTTTGACATTCCTCATGACACTCGTGTATTGTATCTAGACTCCAACTGGATCGTCCACATATCCAGTGGGGCCTTCTATGGCCTGAAACTGCTCCATGAACTTCACCTTGCAGACAATCTCATTGAGAGCATTGCTCCAGGGGCCTTCCATGGCTTGGGTGGTGCACTGAGGCTCTTGGACCTTTCAGGAAACAAGCTACAAAGAATAGATGCTGCTCCCTTTGTCATGCTGACCTGGGTTAAGCTAGAACTTTATGACAATCCCTGGCATTGTGATTGCTCACTGCAGGAGCTGATGAGAGCTCTTTCCTTGGGTGTGGGGACGGCAGAGGACATTGTGTGCACCACTGCAACCTGGAAGGAGTATGTTGGGAAGACTTTGGCCCATTTGCTCAGTAGTGGGGTCAACTTCTGTGTCACTCAGCAGAAGAACACTGACTTTGTGATGTTGTTCACTATGTTTGTCTGGTTTGCTGTAGTTATCACTTATGTCATCTATTATATCAGGCGCAACCAAGCTGAATCCCGGCGTCACTTGGAGTACCTCAAATCCCTGCCAGTTCCCAGCAACAAACTCCATCCTGAGGACGAAGACAATTCATTCAGCACGATCCTCTGAGAAGACGTGACACATAGCACTTGCTGGGGCTACACAACAGTACTGCTTTGGAAGCAGATTTAATCTGTGTTAGTTTGTCCTTCTAAAGAAACCTAGGTTTAAAGCTCGGGCCTAAGCAAGGCATTTTGCTGCCTGGGACAAGAACCAGTGCTGCTCCCCAGCCCCCCCATTCCAGTGGAGAAACCAGCCGTGGACTCGTCCACTTTGGCAGATGAACCAGAGCCTCCATCAGACCTAAGGAGAGCTATTTAACTTAGGAGGTAGAGGGCAAGCTACACAGAAACCAGCGCCATGTCCTCCTTGCCCTTACTCTCCTTCCACATATACTGCCTGGAGCAGCCACCTCAAAATGCTCAATGATAGGGCTGGCTCTGACCTCTGTGCTACCTTCTGAGAGGCCATTGGTCAGGACATATCCAACCACACCCTCTCCTGCATTAACCCCAAACCCTCAAAGCTGGATCCAACTCAAGCATTTCCTCACACATCTATATCATGTAGCACCCTTCCTAATTTATTGTCCAGTCAGGATGTCAGGTGGGGAAGATACAGGAATGTGGAAGGCTGCCCGAATTAAACTCTCAGCTCTTTATTCATTTATGATATGTATATAACAGTGATGCTATAAGATCTGCCGAAGGTGTATAATATTCCATAAAATCAACATAGCCAATGAAAAGACAAAGACATGAAGGCAACTCATCAACAGCCCACCTCAGTGTCAGCAGTGTAACAGCATCCTAGAAAAGCTCTATGGAGAATCTCTGCCTTAACATCCTCTTAAAGACGTTCAGAAGGGGTTCTGGGAGGACTCTAAACCTGGAGGGTGTATGCCAGACAGGGCTACATTCCCATCCTCACTCAGGTTTCGGTCATGCATACCAATTCCACTCACTCATCCACAAATATGGTCTTATTGCAATGGGGGTGGTGGTCTGGTGTTTACCAGCAGCAACCTGAAATCAAGCCCATCAACTCTAGCCATGCCATTTCTTCTACACGACAATTTTCCAGTATAGCTGCAAGAATTATACCAGTATGATATTCCTTGATTTATGTTCTTCTCGCCTGATAGTCTGGAATGTTATCTGGGTTAAACATTGGGCTAACCTGGGTTTGGATGCAACCCATCAGATACCTTGGAAGATCATTTGGTAGCTTGCCCAGGTGTACTACCTGCTATTTTGCAAAATAAACTAGGAACCTTAGCCCTAAGGGCAGAACGTTTTTGTTTTCTTAGTAAACTCTCATCTTAATTCACCAGCTTCCACTCACTAACCCGCTCACCAATCTCACTCACAAGACTCTTCCCTTGACTCTTAAAAATTTTCTCCTGGCTCCTCCTGCTAAGAACATGCCTTAAACTGCAGATTGCTTAAATTAGCAGCAGCCTGGGGTGCAAGTATCCCCTTCCTCAACTGTGGGTGCCCTCAAGATGGCTGGATCAAAGGCTGGCTTGGAAGTCACCCTCCAAATTTACATTTCCCACTTTCATCAAGGCGGAGGGTCACTGTGATGCAGACCAGCCACTTGGAACTGTGGGAACACATCTTTTTAAACTGCAAGCCTCACCTCCTCCCTTGGGCTTCTGAAATCCAGACTGGTAGACTGGTCAATGGGTGGGTTCTTCCTTTCTGCCTTCCCTCCCACCTATAATGTTTGCAGATTTTCTTTTCTCCCCGTGGCCACTTTTTATAAACATTCTGAAGCATGAGCAATGCGCATAATGGTTGGCATCTCCATCTTCTCTGGCAAGCATCCCCTGTGCCTTTAACAGGAGAACAAGAGGCCTAAAAAAAAAAAAAAAGAATCAGATGTAATTATCCTTGTAATCCTTTTGAGATTATTCCCCTTAAATTGCACTTGCAGCATCATTTCTGCCTTCTGTCTCCCCCACAGGCCACCATGCTATATAATCCAAAACAATTGTTTAAAAATTAGTTCCCCTTTCTATTGTGTACACTGTTTCTTGTAATTATGTTAGGTAGAGCACGAATGAGTCAAATTGGACCCTCTTCCCAGATACATCATAGTTTAATACTAGGAAGCTAACCCTAAAACCAATAATAAATCTCTGCTTTTTAATCCCTGGTATTTTACAGGGATGTTTCCATCTAATCTGCTCAGCCATTGCCAATTTCCCCCCAGACTGATTTGACTATGCTCTTAGAGACTCTCAGCATATTACATCAGAAGTGGTCAGCTGGCATCTCCAACCTAATTTCAAAAGAAGCAATCATTCAATTAAGACTCTTGGTAACAGCGATTTCTCCTTTTCTTGGTAGCATCTCTGTAAATAGAAAGCAATTTAAAAAAAAGAATGAGGTTGTTGGTAGCAGAAGGGTGAGATGGAATAAGATGGATTTTTGGTTCTACCTACAACTGACCTTGACCCACTCCACTCCACCCACTGCTCCAAGGAAATGCTGTTCTTGGGAGAAAACAGGTTCCCCCTTGTTTCACATGACATGAAATGCCTATTTGCAATCAAAAGCACTGTGTATCTAATTCTGCCTCTTTGATGGCTGTGCCTACATAAATAAAAGTACATCTACTTCCAAATGCACATTTGTCTCATTTGTATTCTATGTTTTAGACTAACACAGCAATTTTCTGTGTTGCTATTAGATTACAA